CCGTCTGCGAGCAGTGCGAAGGCTCCTTCTCCCTCTGATTTGCTTGTTTTTTGTCTCTGTCTCGCGTGACCACTGTTGCTCGGACTCCCAGTGCTCTGGTGCGGGGAGGTGGTGAGCGTGGGTGTCTGTCTTCCTCCTGATCGGAGAGGGGGAGCTTTCGGCTTCTCACCGTTGCATGTTGTGTGTCTAGGAATTATGTTTCTTTAAATATTTATTTTATTTATTTTTAGACAGAGGGGAAGGGAGGGAGGAAGACGGAGAGAGAGCTCAACGTGTGGTTGCCTCTCTCACGCCCACCCCCCTACTGGGGACCTGGCCTGCAACCCAGACATGTGCCCTGAGTGGGAATCAAACTAACCACCTTTTGGGTCCCGGGCCGGCGGTCAGTCACTGAACCACACCAGCCAGGTCAGGAATTATGTCTTTAACATACATTTTTATTTACAATTATAACAAATTGGATGCAATGTATACATTTTGCTATTGTAGATTTTACTAATGAACAGAATTAAATACGAACCTTTGTGTTAATGCCAGCTTTTCCTGCGAATAATTCCTGCCAGTGTAATCCGTGGGACTAAGGATAAACTTGTTCAGCCCTGGCTGTGTGCGGCTCAGTGGTTTGAGCACCGGCCTGCAAACCAAAGCGTGGCTGGAGGATTCCCAGTCTAGGGCACATGCCTGGGTACATGTCTAGGGTACGTGCAAGAGGCAGCCACAGAGGGATGTTTCTCTCCCTCTCTTTATCTCTCCCTTCCACTCTCTAAAAGTAAATAAACGAAATCATAAAAAAAGAAACTTGTTCAGGGCATTTAGTATACAAGAATGGACCAAAGAAAAATGTAGGAATTACCTTCTGGAGGGTGGGCACCTTGAAGCTAGGATTCCCCACTAGTGAGAGTTCTAGGAGCCCATCTGCATCCGTGACCAACTGGCGTTGTTGTGAGAGGCTGGGTTGGGCTTCTCTGATTTTTTTGTCGACTCTCCCAGAGCACTGGCCCATTTCACAATGGGTGACTTACCAGTCCCCCTGCCCACCTGCGCTGAGTGTTCACCAGTTTTTGACTAAAAACCCACGTCCCCCCATCCTCCCGATTCACCCGATCTCACCCAGAGTGACTGTTTTTCCTTCCTGCGTGAAAAGAGTCCACAAAGGGAAAGAAACATCCGGACGTGTAAGACGTGAAACAAAACGGCAGAAGCTCTAAGAGGCGTCAGAGCTGCCAAGTGCAGAGAGTGTTCAGGGGAGTGGAGGGACGTCCCCACGGGTGTCCCCCATCCAGGGGGGAGCATGTGAGGGTGACCGAAGGGTAAAGGTGTGAGAATAAAAACTAAATATTTATAAGTAAATTCTCTTTTTGGGTCGCCCCTTGTGCACCTGTGGCCAAATGCATCCACAAGAGTTCACGTTCGCATGAAAAACAGCATGTAATTACCATTCTAAGTTATTTAAATTTCATTCCTTTATGTTTTATATTTTAAAATGGTCTGTGATAGGAATGAAAATCAATAAATATCCTCCCAAATATGTGGAAATGTGTTCCCCTCTCTGGAAACTTTTAGACTTAGACCATTCAGGTAACTTAAAGCACAGGGGGGCCAAGGCCCTGGGCTTCTGCCCTGGTTGACACAGGACCCCCCTGGGAGGGGCTGAGCAGCAGGAAGGTGAAGGGGTTGGGACCCGCTGGCTGCTGTGCAGAGCTTGGCCTGCAGGGGGGCAGCAGCGGGATGCAGACTAAGAGCCTAGGGGCCTGCCTTCCTCAAGAGGGTGGTCTGGGGGGGGCACCTGGCTGGGGCAGGGAAGTGTGGGCAAGTGGGGAGCTTCTGAGCAGGTTCCCACAGGAGAGCCGGTGCTCCCTGCTGGCGAGGGATAAGGTACCTGCATTACTGCTCCACGTTTCATGGCTGATTTCCACGGTGGGATCCAAGGTGAAGAAACGCCCAGGGGACATTTGCAGAGGAGGCTCTCGGGTCCCCAGTGATGGCGATGGTGCCCGGGTCGGGCCTGGGCCGGCAGCCTCTCCACGTGGAATCCTCCTCCTCCTTCCAGGTGGTCCCTGCTGCCCAGCCCCTGCTGGCCTCTCTCTCTGTGCACAGCAGGTCAGGATGGGGAGGTGCCTGGTGCCCCATCTGCCTGCCCTCCCTGTGTGCCTCACCGTGGTCCAGCTGCTCAGCCCCTGCTCAGGTAGGACCGGCTGTGCGTCTGTGTGTGCACATCCTTTCCCTTCGGGCCCAGTCAGAACCCGGGACTCCGCTCACCCCTGCAAGGCCTGTCCACACCGCACCCGTGTGAGGACTGAGTTCCTGTCTAGGGGTCTGTCACCTCACCTCCCCGCCTGGGTTGCCACGCCCTCTTCCAACCATGTTTTTTGACAAGGTCTGAACGTGGAAAGAGGGCATTCAAGGAATCCATCTTCCTGGAAGAGAGCGTGGCATACAAAGGGGGGCGGTAATTTTTCTGGGGATTGCTTTTAATAATTTCCTTGCTAATATTAATCATGGTCTTACTTTGTACCCTGATTCCCATAAGAACAGGCCATGAGAAGAAAGAGGCTCGAAAAGAGTCAGTGATTGATTTTGAGGGAAATTCTGATGGGACAACTAGTTCTCCCTAGACTATTGAATACTGGCCCAGATTGTTTTAAACAAGGAGTTTATAAACCTGAGTAAGAAACTATCCCCGATTGTTCCCATAAAAGAATTCATGAATCAGTTACAACAGGTTGAATTATTGGCAGGCTTTCCCATGCCTGTTCCTTACCCATAGATACAAAGAGTCTTTCTAGAAAACAAGAAAAAAACTATATAGACCCTTACCCACAGCCCAGGGATACCCCTGGGTAGCATATTAGATTATTGGCAAATTATGGCATCCCCCCAAAAGGAGCTAATAGTCTCCAGAGGGTTCCAGATCTCCCATTGCCTTATACAGGAGCACATAATGAGGGTGACATTAGAATGGTCAATAAGGATGAAGTTCAAGTACCTTATAATAGTCTAAATTTCATGGAAAGGCTAGCTCGAAGCAGACCTCCCTGGTGTTTATTAACTAAGAAATAAAAAGAGTTTATTATAGCTGAATTTCCTGTTTATCTCCCCTTACCTGTTTGTTTTGGAGATTAAAAGGTGGTGGGATTGTTAGATATCTGTATCTCAGGTTTATTGATTTGCATAATTCCAATGAAGTTGTATAAAATAATTTCTTGACCAGAGAACAAAATCCCCTCTAATGAAATAGCCCCTGAGTGTCTAAAAGTTGTAGGAGTAACAGCCCCGCCTTTACCTTGAATAGGAGTATACATCAAATAGAATTAGACAGGCAAAGAAATAAGAAAAGCTGGTTAACTATTATACACTAAGCATGTAGAAACAGTTACCAGGGAGTCAGAGTGCATGGTACATAGAGAAATACTTTAAACAGAAAAGGTAAATAGGTAAGTGAGACATCACAAAGGCCTTATAATAAATTTCCTATAACCTCTACTCAATCTAGCGTATCCTTTTGCCCCATGACAAATTCTGAGAATTTTAATAAACAATAAAGACATTCAAACTTGGTGTGTACAGCTATTTCTAATTGTCTGATGTATGGCTCTCCCGGTTAAAATAATCTTTGTTTAATATAACTGAATCTATGGGAATTTTTGTATTTTTCCTGGTTACCTTTGTATTAATATTTTTCTGCCTTACCTAATCGCAAATGTCAATCACTGCCAAAAATGAAAGTATAAAAACCTGCTCGTACTTGCAATAAACGGCACAGAGCATCACTGTCCTCTGAGGCGTGTTGTCGTCTGTCTCCCGTCGCCGACGCCTCACCCTCCTTTCAGGGACCCCCGGACCCAGCTGCGGCCGGACCGCGGCAGCGCGGGCACCGCGGAGGGGACGCCGCTGCGCTCGGCGAGCTGCGGCAGGGTGGCGGCCTCCGCCGCTGGGACCCCGGGGCCCAGCGCGAACGCCACGGGTTCCCCCCCCCACCCGCTCCAGACCCCCGGGGTCCGAGCCCTCCTGGGGTCCCCGCCGCTGTCGGGGTTCGCCCTCCACCGCCGACCCACCTGCGCCCCGAGCAGCGGCGGCGGCGGCCCCGGGAGAGCGGACGTCCGCCGCATGGGGCCCGGCCGGAGGGGCGGCCGCAGCTGCCAGCGCAGTGCGAGTGCTCCCCAGGGCTGGGGCGGGCTGTGACCAAGTTGGACACAGGGTGACCCACCGCCGCCACGACCGTCCCGCACGGAGTGTCCCTGCAGGTTTCCTCCGCTCCCGGCCGCGGACCGCCAGGCCTCAGGGCGCTTCGGGGCAGTTTCCTGAGAGACTGAGGAGCAGTTCACCGAGAGGCGAGGGGCAGTCTTCAGAGAGGCTGTGGTGTGGTTTTCAGGGAGACAGGGGGACTTTTAAGAGAACCTGAAGGGCAGTTTTCAGGGATTCTGAGGGGCAGTTTTCACGGAGACTGAGGGGCAGTTCTCAGGGCGGCGCAGGGGCAGTTTTCAGAGAGGCTGAGGGGCAGTTTTCTCAGGGGCTGTGGGGCAGTTTTCAGGGAGACCGAGCGGTATTTTGCACACAGGTGCAGGGGCAGTTTTCAGAGTCACAGTGCAGCGGCGTACACGGAGGCATACGAACGTGTCACAGACAGAATTGCATGAAATGTGTCCTTGTGTGTCCGGCTTCTCTGGTTCAGGCTGGTGTCCCCAGCAGCTGGGTCACGGTGGGACCTGCCAGGGCGTCACCTCTCTGTGTGACCGAGGGACACTCAGACGTAGGTGCAGACAGACACTCGTGGTGGTGTTCACTCTCCTGCTCAGGGACTCGGGGGCACTTTTAAACAAACAGACCCTGAGCCCTGACCGCTCTGTGACAAGGACAGCTTTTCAGTCAGTGGTGTTGGGCACCCTGGACGTCTCCAGGCCCAGGAGGACTTGGGCCCTCAGGTCACAGCAGACACAGACACTAACTCACAACGACCCAAAGACCCAGCTGCACGGTCTGAAGGCGACAGAACCCCTGAAGGGTCAGAGGGGACGTCTCATGACGTTGGATGGTGTTTGGGGTGCACCTGACATGGGGTCACCTGGGGGGTGTCTCTGAGTGCCTCAGAGAGCCCCTGTCCCTCAGTCCCTCCAAGATCCTAGGATGACAGGGGTCCTCCTTCCTGCGGTGACAGGTTCCTGTGCGTGCGTGTGTGTGTCTGTGTGCACACGTGGCCTCTCCGTCTGACTGTGTACGCATCTCTGAGGGGGTCCGTGTCTCCCCCTCGTGAGCGGTGCTCCCGTGGAGGCAGGGCGCAGGTGCCCCGACCGAGGCCTTTCACGCCCCTCACGAGCGCACGTGGGGCCGGTCTGTCTGTATTCGGTCCCAGGGCTGCTGGGAACTCTGTCGGCGTGTGACTTCACTGAGACGTTTCCTGTTTCTCCCCACGCCAGAGCGCAGACAGCGGTGGTTTGGTCGCGAGCTGTTTCATCTTCCTCGTGTTTGTCTGGGCATCACGATCATCATCATCGTTGCCTACGTCGAGAAGCCAAAAGACGGAGGATCCCAGCCCGTGTGCAGCGGGGTCCTCAGGGGTGCGCGCTCCGCGTCGGAGCCCCTGGAGGAGAGGGAGTGACAGCCCGGGCTGGGGCGGTCCGGGCGCGGCGGGAGGACGGGGCGGGGCCTCTGCGGGGTCTTCCGGGTTCTCCCCGCTGAGGCCCCTCCCCCACCCGGAGCCGCCCCGAAAGGAAACAGCCCGGCAGCCGTCACGGTGCTTCTACGCCGATCCCCAGGCCCCTGGGATCGAGGCCCCTGGGCTCAGTGACATTCGGCCCTTCGGCCATCTGAACGGTGAGGCTTTTTCAGCATGTCCTTGTCCTGGCTCCAGGGGACTCCCTGGGAGCCCGGTGCGCTCCTCGCGAGAAGCTAGATGGGAAGAAACGCGGTAATTGCGTCGTCCATGAGGGGTAGAGTCCTGCCGAAGGCCCCTCGTGCAGCCAGGCGGTCCCTGAGACCCGTCTGGGGTTTCCGCTGCCGCTGGCCGGCCCGGAGGACCCGCGCGGGCCGCGGCGTGAGTGAAACTCCGGCGCCGGCTCCGCCGCTGCTCCGGGGCGGGGCTCGCTCCGGTCTCTGCGCTCCCCGCTCCCGACTTTGCCGCCGCTCCCCGTCGGGGCGCGGGTGGGTGCGCGGCGCTGGGGGAGGGCAGACCCCGACAGCGGGGGTGTGGGGGAGCGGGGGTGCAGCCCGGGGCTGGACAACACGGCGGGCAACGTGAGAGCTCTGAGCCGGGCTGGGGCCGGGTGGGGCAGGAGGAATCCTGCCGCTTTCCCCTCTGCGCCCCCCCCCGCCGCCGCCCCCGCGTTCCGGGGTCCCAGCGGCTCAGGGTGGGAATTCTCCCAGCTCACGGGCGGCCCCGCTTCCCACCCCTGCGGACCCCAGATTCTCTGCCGGAGAGGCGGGGGGTGGGAGGGGTGAGGAACACAAGACCGCGTCCCCTCGTGCCCCGGTTCCTAGCACGCCGGCACAGACACCGGCCGCTGTGGTGCGCGCCCAGTGCAGGTCGCGATGGCGAGGTGGGACCTGAGGTGGGTCCACGGGTTTCTGGGGAGACTGGAGACTGTCCACGTTCTGCCCGGGCCTCCATGGAGCCCTGACTGTACAGAAAGTGTGGGGGGAACACAACACTTCCCCTTCCGGACCAGAGGCGGGTGGGGGGTGGGTAGTAGCAGCGGCTGCAACCCCAGGGCGTGGGGGGCGGGGCTGCGGGTGGGAGGAGCGGTGGCTCCCAGTCCCCAGGGCGTGTGGGTGGGACTGCAGCGAGAGGAGCAGGGACCAGAGTCTGGGACTTTGGGGGCAAGGTTGCTGGTGTTGCCAAAACCAAATCCACCCCTTTCGGGAATGGGTGGACATTTAAGAAGCCAATCTTTTTTTTTCTTTTTTTTAAAATATATTTTATTGATTATGCTATTACAGTTGTCCCATTTCCCCCCTTCCCCCCCCTCCACCCTGTACACCCTCTCCCACCCACATCCCCCCCTTCAGTTCAAGTCCATGGGTCATACTTATAAGTTCTTTAGCTTCTACATTTCCCATACTATTCTTGCCTTCCCCCTGTCTATTTTCTCCCTACCATCTATGCTACTTATTCTCTGTACCTTTTCCCCCTCTCTCCTCCTCCCACTCCCCTGCTGATAACCCTCCATGTGATCTCCATTTCTGTGGTTCTGTTCCTGTTCTAGTTGTTTCCTTAGTTTCTTTTGATTTTGCTTTAGGTGTGGTTGTTAATAATCGTGAGTTTGCTGACCTTTTACTATACATGTTTTTTTAATCTTTTCTTAGATAAGTCCCTTCAACATTTCATATAATAAGGGCTTGGTGATGATGAACTCCTTTAACTTGACCTTATCTGAGAAGCACTTTATCTGCCCTTCCATTCTAAATGAAAGCTTTGCTGGGTAGAGCAATCTGGGATGTAGGTCCTTGTCTTTCATGACTTGGAATACTTCTTTCCAGCCCTTTCTTGTCTGCAAAGTCTCTTTTGAGAAATCAGCTGACAGTCTGATGGGAACTCCTTTGTAGGTAATTGTCCCCTTATCTCTTGCTGCTTTTAGGAATCTCTCTTTCATTTTAATTTTGGCTAATGTAATTATGATGTGCTTTGGTATGTTTCTTCTTGGGTCCAACTTCTTTGGGACTCTCTGAGCTTCCTGGACTTCCTGGAAGTCTATTTCCTTTGCCAGATTGGGGAAGTTCTCCTTTATTGTTTGTTCAAATATGTTTTCAATCTGTTGCTCTTCCTCTTCCCCTTCTGGTACCCCTGTAATTCGGATGTTGGACCGTTTAAAGATGTCCTGGAGGTTCCTAAGCTTCTCGTTTTTTTGAATTCTTATTTCTCCATTCGTTCCTGTTTGATTGTTTCTTTCTTCCTTCTGGTCCACTCTATTGTTTTGAGTTACAGTTTCCTTCCCATCACTATTGGCTCCCTGTGCACTTTCCTTCATTTCTTTTATGGTAACCTGCATTTGTTCATCTAATTTGCGACCAAAATCAACCAATTCTGTGAGCTTCCTGATCACCAGTGTTTTCAGCTGTGCATTTGATAGGTTAGCTATCTCTTGGTCACTTAAAAGGATGAGTCCTGGGGCATTGATTTGTTCTTCTGTTTGAGCCATCTCTCTCTCTCTCTCTCGCTCTCTCTCTCTCTCTCTCTCTCTTTTGGTCTGGGCAGAGCCTTAGGTGTTCACCAGGGCTGGGCACCCCAGTCACTAGATTGTGACTTTGTATGTGGGGATGGGGGTCAAGAGGGAACAATGGAGGTTGCTCCATTCTCCATGGGACCTCAGTCCCTTCCCTGGGATCCTGGGTTGCTCACTCTGCCCTGCTCCACAATCGCCGCCTCACTGGGTCTGCCAGCTGCCGCTTGCATACTCTGGGTCCACCCGCTGCGATCTTGCGCGCCTCAGAGGCCTTACATGCCCCCGGATGCCTTATGCTCCCAACTCTCTCTGCTTTCCGAGCCGTGACCCGAGCCTGGCTGCTTGTCTCCGCCCCTCTCACCGGTCTGGATGAACGGGTGTACTTCAACTTCTTGGCTGTCCGACTTCCATTCAGATAAATTCTCCATCAGTTCTGGGTGTTATTCTGCCTCTAAATTGTTGTTGTTCCAATCTTGGTTGTGCGTGGAGGTACCGTGCATCCACCTATGTCTCGATCTTGCTGGAAGTCAGAAGCCAGTCTTTTATTTACTAAAAAATCAACTCCGGTGGGACAGGGGGTGGACTTCCATTTATGGATGACCTGGGCTCCCCTGAGCCCCTGACACGGAAGCTGCAGAGTGGACCTGGGGTGCACATTGGGCACCCCTCTTCCCGAAGCTGCAGCATGTCGGGAAGAGCCGAGGGTGAGTCGCGTCCCCAGTCCCTGGGACACATGGAGCCGGGAATGAGTCCAGAATGTCCGAAGGGGACAGGAGCTGAGGGTTGGTGCTGTGCTGCGCACCGCTGCCAGGTGCTGTGGCATCTCCTCAGGCAGAGGCTGCAGCGACCAGGTGGGGTCTGTGCCCTGGGCCCCACCATCACCTCTGTGGGCCCCCTTCACAGCCTCACCTCTGTGTGCCCCCAATCACAGGCTCCTATGTCAGCAGAGACTGGGACCTGGACCACATCACCCAGTGGAGCCAATGCGACCCTCGCTGCTTCACCGCCCACCGCAACCAGAAGACCGCGTGCCTTCCATGTGCCGAGTTCCAGGACGGTGAGTGGGCCCAGTGACACGTGGAGGTCCTTTGGTTTCTCCATCCCACCCTGCAACCACCTTGCTCCTGGGAATCACCCCAAGGGCAGGTGTCACAGGTGAACAGGACCACGGGTCAGGCAGGACGTGTGTCCACCAGGATGACAAGCATCTGTGGTGAAAGGGTCCCCCTGAGGCCCCCGGGATTCAGAGCTGCTGTCCAGAGAGGAACACTCACGGGTTCACCCTCACCTCTGCGTGTCCCACATTCTGGGAGGAGGCTGGGGTTCCGCCACCTTCCACCCAGTGCTCCCGCCACTGGGGGCAAATGACCCTTCCGCTCACAGTCCCCTGCACTGGGCGGGGTGGGGGACTTAAATCTCAGAAGGGGCCCAGGCCAGTTAGAGAGGCCGCAGCCTCCCCCCCGCAACACGTCTGCCTCAGTGATGAACAAGCAGCAGGTGCAGCATCTCCTGAGGGCCCAGTGCACAAGGAACCTGACAGGGCTTTTCCAGAATCTGAGGCTCAGAGAGGTGGAGTGACCAGCCTACCCGCACACAACTGGAGTCTCTGCCCACCTGTGGCAGGCAGCTCTGGGCAGGGGTTTTATAAAGAGGGGAAGGAAGGAAAAAGACCCTGAGAAACTGGCATGGGAGGGTGTTGGGGGTCTGCATGAAGGGGCTGAGTGCAAGCAACACAGGCTGTTCAGGCAGCTGGTTCAAGGTCTGCAAGCTTCTGGGAGCTGAATGCCTGCGGGTGGGAGTCAGTCCCTGTGAAGTCCGTGTCTGGAATTCTCGGGCACACGGGCTGTGTCCCTGCCGTCACATCTAGGTGGGCAGGTCGCCCTGTACCTGCTGAGGGAGGGTGTTAGAGACAGTGGGGCGGGTTACCAGGTGCGTGCCTTAAAGATATGCGTGTAAAGATGTCCGTGACACAATTATTTGTAAAACGTCAAATCTGAACCAACGCACACACACGTCCGTTGGAGCTAGGGACCTGCCACACGGTCTGACCACAGAGGGGCCCCAGTCCGCGTGTCTGTTCTTTGGAGAAATGTGTGTTCAGGTGGTCGGCCCATTTGCAAAATCCAACTGTTTGGGGGATATTTTTGGTTTTAAATGATCTGTGTTCTTTGTCCGTTTTGGATACTAACCCCTGGCTGATCGTATCATCGGCCAAGACCTTCTTCCGTCTCTGAGTTGTCTTCTCACTGTGTTGCTGCTTCCTCTGCTGTGCGGACACCTCATTTCCACGTGGTCCCATCTGTTCAGTTTCCATTTGCTGCCCCCCCCCAGGCGGTCACCCCAGAGAGACAGTGTGAGGGGTGGTGCCGGGGTTCGGGGCCTGTGTTTCCTCCAGGGCTCTGCTTTGGGGTCCCATTCACGTCGTTCATGGGTTTGTGGTCCTTCTTGTTCGCGGTGTCAGGAGGTGACCCAGGCCCAGCCTCCTGCACGTGTCTGTCCAGCTGTCCCAACGTCTGTTGAAGAGACTGTCTTTCCCCCATTGTATGTCCTTGCCTCCTCTGTCGTGGGCGAATTGTCCGTGTAGGTGACGCTTGGTATCTGGCTGTCTGTTCTGTCCCAGTGACGTGCGGGTCTGTTTTGTGCCAGCACTGTGACATCGGGGCGCACCTTTAATTTTGTTCTGTGTTTAGATGTTTTTCTGGCCACATGGTGTCCTTTGTGGTTCCCTATAAATTTCAGGGTTCCTTGTTGTCCTTCTGAGGAGAAGGCCATCGGCGTTTTAACAAGGACAGCCTGAGTCTGGGTTTGGCTTTAGGCAGTGAGGACGGTGTGACTGAGTTGCTCCTGCCGACCCTGAGTTCAGTGTGTCCTCTGTCAAGTGTCCCCTCTTCGTCTGGGGTAGCTCAGTGTATTGAGCGCAGGCTGCGAACCAAAGTGTCACATGTTCAATTCCCAGTCAGGGCACATGCCTGGGTTGCAGGCCACGGCCCCCAGCAACCACACATTGATTTTTCTCTCTGTCTCTGTTTCTCCCTCCCTTCCCTCTCTAAAAATAATAAATAAATAAATAATCTTTTTTTTTAAAGTTAGCCGTACCGTTTTAAAAAATTCAGATAATTTTACCTTATTTATTTATTTATTTATTTATTAATATTGTTGTTTAACTGCAGTTGTGTCCATTTTCCCTGAACTATGCCCCCCAACCCAGCCATCCCCTAAAACAGTCAGACAATTTAAAGCACAGGGGGCCAAGGCCCTGGGCTTCTGCGCTGGGTGACAGGGGACCCGGTGGGAAGGGCTGCCCAGGAGGGAGGTGATGGGGCGGGACACGCTTGCTGCTTTGTGGAGCGCGGCCTGCAGGGGGCAGCACCAGGATGCCAACTAAGAGCCTAGGGGCCTGCCTTCCTCAAGAGGGTGGTGCTGGGGGCGGGCACCTGGCTGGTTCAGGGAAGTGTGGGCCAGTGGGGGGCTTCTGAGCAGGTTCCCACAGGAGAGCCCGGTGCTCCCTGCTGGCGAGGAATAAGGTATCTGCATTACTGCCCCACGTTTCATGGCTGATTTCCATGGAGGGATCCAAAGTGAAGAGACCCCCAGGGGACATTTGCAGAGGAGGCTCTCGGGGTCTCCAGTGATGGTGGTGGTGCCGGGGTCAGCCCTGGACAGGCAGCCTCTCCACGTGGAACCCTCCTCCTCCTTCCAGGTGGTCCCTGCTGCCCAGCCCCTGCTGGCCTCTCTCTGTGAGGTCAGGATGGGCAGGTGCCTGGTGCCCCGACTGTCTGCCCTCCCTGTGTGCCTCGCCGTGGTCCAGCTGCTCAGCCCCTGCTCAGGTAGGGCCGGCTGTGCGTCTGTGTGTCTGCATCCTTTCCCTTCGGGCCCAGCCAGAACCCTGGACACCACCCACCCCTGCAAGGGCTGTCCACACCGCACCTGTGTGAGGACTGAGTTCCCGTCTAGGTGTCTGTCACCTCACCCTCCCTGCCTGGGACACCGCCTGACCTTCTGGCCCTGCTACTATGACGGAGCCCCCCCTTCTGATGACCAGCTGAGTTTGCTGTGGTCGGACCCCCCGAGCCCATCCTGCCCATGGTGGGTGAAGACGCAGACCTGCCCTGTCACCTGTCCCCGGAGATCAGCGCTGAGGCCCTGCAGCTGATGTGGGTGCAACCAGGCCGCAGGCAGGTAGTGCACGTGTACGCACACGGGCAGGAGGACACGCCGGCAGAGCAGTTTCGAGGGAGAACTTCGATTATAAGAGAGGACGTCACTGCGGGGAAGGCCGCTCTCCAGATTCACAATGTCAGCGTCTCTGACAACGGAACCTACCTGTGTTGTTTCCAAGATGGAGACTTCTATGCAAAAGCCCAGGTGGAGCTGCAGGTGGCAGGTGAGCCTCAGGCTTGTTCAAGGCTCCTTTCCCTGGGCGGGGGCAGAGGCTGCAGACCTACCCCAGAGCTCGTGGGCTGCTCACCAGCATTCGTTCCCCCCGCCTCCATCTCTGCTCCTCTGAGGCCCGTGACAGACCCAGGTGTCCCCCAGGGTGACTTCCGCCTGCACCCAGTACAGAGTTCCCGATGCCGCCCACCAGTCTCAGAGGAGGGTGCAGGTCGGAACTGGGCACCAGTGGACTGTGTGAGACTTTAAATGCTGCATCAGGAACTCCGGGCTCCCCTCCTCCAGCCCCCTCCAACACGGGAAGGAACCGGGTCGTTCCCAGCGGGACCTCTGCACACTCGGGCAGGTGTGCCCGCAGGTCAGAGTTGTCCCGCAGCAGCGAGGGGCCGCCTCCCGCCGGCCAGCAGGCCGCACCAGCACGCCCACCGACAGCAGGGGCGGGCGCGGTGGGGGGCGGAGGGAGCCAACCCTGTGCCCTGCAGATGGCCACCGCCCCCGTGGGAACAGAGTGGGGGTCCTTGGGGAGCTGACGGGGGATCTGCCTCTGACCCAGTGACCCCCCTGCCGGGGTCACACCCTAGGAACCCTGAAACCCCAATCCAAAAGCACCCAGCTCCCCACGTTCACAGCAGCACAGTTTACAGGAGCCCAGTGCTGGGAGCAGCCCAAGTGCCCACCAGTGAGCGGACCCTGTCCCACCCCGTCCTGCCCTGGGCCTTGGGGGTCAGGGGGAAACATGTGGACGTCCCGGGCCCCAGGGTCCCTCCTGTGCCCTCCCCCCTCCCGCTTCTCCCCTGTCTTTCCTGAGCTGTGAGCGGGGGCCACGGCCTCCCTCTGCAGCGGGCTGTGGGGTCTGTGCCCGCTGCCCCACCCTCCCTCACTGGCACCCTGGGCTGTCCCAGCAGAGGCAGGCCACCCAGTCTGGCCCTGGGGACGGAGCACTGGGGACGGTGGTCCCAGAGGAACCGAAGAAGCAGGACATGGGCCGGGCAGCAGGGCAGGGAGGGGCAGTCGGTGGGGCCACCCAGGCCCTGTGGCTCCACGTCCTCAGCTGGCTCCCGGGACAGCGGATGGGACCCCTGCCTCCTGGGCCTGCCTCTCACTGTGTGAACACCGCCCCTCCCGGGCGCTGGGGGGACTTCCCTCACATTTCTTTGGCAGGATTCCAGGTGACTGTGTGTCACGGGGGTGGGGGAGTGGTTGTGAACTTTGACCTAAGACTAAAATGCCCCGGGTGGCAATGGTTAACGCTGCTCTGTCCCAGCTGCCACCTCAGCAGAGAGCAAAACAGGAAACTGCCTGCAGGGAAGCCTGGCTTCACCTGTGGATTCTTTCTGGGTTTCCGGTGGGGGTGGGGAAAATGGCTGGGGCAGAAACGGGTGGGGAGAGGGACCCGGAGCGGCAGTTCCTCCTAAAGAGACCACACCTCCGCTCCACATCCGCATTCTAGCTGCGCTGTACCCCTCATCTCAGTGTCCCTGCAGCGGTCACAGGAGAGCAAAGGGACAGGCTGGACGGGCTTTCAGTTCCTAAATGCTGTTGAACCTGGAGGAGTCTCCAGCCTTTTTCCCTTTGTGATCTGGAGTTTGGGGTCTGAGAATAAGCCCGAAGCTTCCCAGAAAGAAGGTGGGGGCCCAGGGGTGGAGGAAGCACAAGGTCGGTGACTGAGAGCCCTGAACAGGTACTGCCCTGCGGTGCGGTGCGGGTGCGGGGGGAGGGGGGGCTGGGAGCACCCACACGGGGTCCTCAGAGAGTGAGTTGCTCCCCCAGACCCTGGGCGTGGGTGAACCTGCCCAGGACGCCAGAACGCGCTGCACTGACGGTGCGCCCTCTGCTGGCAACAGGGAGGAGGGAGCAGCTGCGTCCCAGCCTTTGTTAAAGCAGGACGGACCCTCCCCTCCAGCTCCCAGGCCCACACACACGGCCATGGACTTCCATGGGGGAAACAGGTCAACTGTCCTCCTCGTGGGACCAGAGCTGGTTCTGGGGGGAGGCTGGCAGCTTCCTGTGACCCCGGGCTCCTCGTGGGGTCTGTGATCACAGCACACAGTGCTCCCCAAAGTGGGCTGGGGAATCGCCCCACGGAGACACCTTCTGTTGGTGACAGTGCGGACCCGGGAGCCTGGGGTTGGGGAGACGTGGAGGCAGGAACAGTGAAGCTGTGTCCCCCCCACCCCCAGGTGTCCCGAGGGGACAGTGGTCCTGCAGCAGTGCAACTCCACAGCGGACACGGTGTGCGGCCCGCCCGGTCCAGGTGAGAGGGAGTGGCTGTTGTTAAGGTGTCTGTCTGAGGGGGCAGTGCAGTTCCCGCTCCTTCCCATCAGCCCTGGGACCAGCAGCGCGCCCCTCCCCCTCGGCCCCCAGCAAGCCTGAGTTACTTTCTGGGACGGACCCCCTGTTCAGGACGGGTCACAGACACAGAATCCAGTGACATGTGGCCTTGTGTGCCCGGGTTCTCTCGATCAGGCTGGTGTCCCCAGCCCCTGGGTCACGGTGGGATGTGCCAGGGCGTCACCTCTCTGTGTGGCTGAGGGACACTGAGACGTAGGTGCAGACAGAGACGTGTGTTGGTGTTCACTCTCCTGCTCAGGGACTGGGGGAGATTTTTAAACAAAGTGTCCCTGAGCCCGGACCGCTCTATGACAAGGACAGCTTTTCAGTCAGTGGTGTTGGGGACCCTGGACGTCCCCAGGCCCAGGAGGAGTTGGACCCTCAGGTCACAGCAGACACAGAAACTAACTCACAACGACCCAAAGACCCACCATGGTGTGAAGATGACAGAACCCCTGGAGGGTCAGAGGGGACGTCTCATGACGTTGGGTGGTGTTTGGGGCCGACGTGGTGACATGGGGTCAGCTGGGGGGTGTCTCTGTGAGAGTAGTCTCCCTGAGCCCCCGTCCCCGGTGCCTGCACGGTCCTACGATGACGGGGGTCCTCCTTTCTGTGGTGATGGGTTCCAGTGGGTGCGTGTGTGTGTGTGTGTGTGTGTGTGTCTGTGGGCACTCTTGGGGGCTTTGTCCATCCGTCTGTGCATCTCACTGATGTGGTCCGTGTCTCCCCCTCGTGAGCGGTGCTGCCGTGGTCTCGGGGTGCAGGTGCCCCGACCGAGGCCTTTCACGTCCCTCACGAGCACACAATGGGTCAGTCTGTCTGCATTAGATCCCAGGGCTGCTGGAAACTCTGTCAGCGTGTGTCTTCACTGAGGTGTTCACTGTGTCTCCCAGCGTCAGAGCGCAGACAGCGGTGGTTTGGTCTGGGAGCTGTTTCATGTTCCCCCGGTTTGTCTGGGCATCATCATCACCACCCGTGTCTTCATGGAGAAGGGAAAAGACGGAGGATTCCAGCCCAAGTGCAGCGGGCCCCCCAGCGGTGCGCGCTTGGAGTTGGAGCCCCCGGAGGAGAGTGAGTGACAGCCCGGACTGGGTTGGCCATTCCGGGCGCTGGGGGAGGACAGGGCCGGGCCTCTGGGGGGTCTTCCAGGTTCTCCCCTGGAAGCCACAGGGCCCTGGGCTCAGGGACAGCCTGGCCCCCCGGCCATCTGAATGGTGGCGCTTTCTTCAGCATTTGCGTTTCCTGGCTTGGCTCCAGGAGACGCACTGGGCGCCGCTGCGCTCCCGGGGAGAAGCTCCCTCAGAAGAGACGCTGTAACCCACTAACGGCGGGTGCCTTGGGGAGGGCAGCCCGGGTCCAGACTGCTCTGGGCTTCCCGCTGCCACCGCGGGCGAAATGGTAGCTCCAAGCGGGGTGCGGGCGGGGGCTGGGGCAGGGGGAGACCAGCGCGTTGTGTCCCGCCTCCGCACCCGCGTACTGGGGTCCCAGCGGTTCAGGTGGGAATTCTCCCAGCGCGTGGGCAGCCCCGTTCCCACTCCCTCGGGACCCCAGATTCCCTGCGGGAGAGGCGGGGGAGGGCGTGGGGAACACAAGGCCGAGCTCATTGGTGGTCCGGTTCCTAACACGACGTGACCGGGACCGGTCCGCGGGGTGTGCGCCCCAGTGCAGGTCACGGTGGTGAGGGGACCTGAGGTGGGTCCCCAGTTTTCTGGGAGACTGGAGACTGCCCACGTTCTGCCCTAGCCTCCGTGGAACCTGGCGGGCGGAGTCCCTGCCTGTCCCGAATGTGTGATGAAGCGGAACACTGCCACTTTCCCACCAGAGGCGGGTGGGGTGGGTAGTAGCGGTGGCTGCAACCCCAGGAAGTGGGGGCGGGGTTGCGGGTGGGAGGTGGGAGGAGCGGTGGCTTCCAGGCCTGGCCTGGGAGTGCAGTTGACACTGCAGGGGGAGGGGCAGGGACCAGAGCCTGAAGCGTCTGTCACGGAAACCAAAGCCACCCCTTCCGGGGATGGGCGGAGAGTTTCTCTTAAGAAACCCCGTCTTTTATTTACTAAAAATAAACTCTGGTCTCATGGTACAGAGGCTGGTTTCTCTATGACCTGGGCTGCCCAGCACCCTGGCCCGGAAGCTGCAGTGGCCCCCAGGGTAGTAGTGGCCAGGGTCTTCGGGGTGCATACTCAGCACCCCTCTTCCCAGAGCTGTGCATGCCGGGAAGAGCCAAGGATGAGGCAGTTCCCCAGTCCCTGGGACACATGGACCCGGGAATCAGTCCAGAAGGTTCCAAGGAGCCAGGAGCTGAGGGTTGGTGCTGTGCTGGGAACAGGCCGCCAGGTGCTGTGGCAACTCCTCAAGCAGAGGCCACAGGGACCAGGGGCGGTCTGTGCCCTGGGCCCCACCGTCACCTCTGTGCGCCCCCCTTCACAGGCTCCCACGTGTGCAGAGTCTAAGACCTGGATGGCGTCACGGATTGCAGCCTGAGCGAGCCTGGGTGCTCCTTGGCCCACCGCCACCTGGAGCCCGCATCCCTGCCGTGTGCCGAGTGCCAGGAGGGTGAGTGGGCGCAGGGAGGTGCGTGGCCCCCTTGGTTCCTGCAGCCCACCCCAGGTCAACCTGGCTGGTAAGAATCACCTCAAGTGGGGATGTCACAGATGCACAGGGTCACGGGGCGGCCAGGACGAGTGTCTCCCAGGATGACACGTGTCTGTGGTGAAATGGTCCCCCTGAGGCCCCCGGATTCAGGGCCGCTGTCGAGAGAGGAACGCAAACAGGTTCACCCCACCTCTGGGTGCTCCGTGTAGCATCCAGCAAACGCAAGAACAAATATCGGAGACTTTCAGAGTATCAAAGATGTTACTTTATTGGCCAAGTTTAACCTGCGCAGGGGCGAACTCTCAAAGTGTCCAGCGACACAGTGCCCACAAGGGGCTGCAAACCAGAGTCGCGCCGAGCGCTTACAACTACTTCCTTATATGGGGCAGGCAAGCAAGCGTTACACAGAAGCATACGTGGCAGTTAGCAATTCGCTTACAAAGACCGCGCGCGGGAATTTCAAACCAAGCATTCTTGTACAAGGCGGGAAGGCAGGATGTTTGTTCAGTAACCTAGTAATCTCCTGGCTTTATCTAGCTAGGTTCCTATTTTCTCATGGTCTAAGTTTTTCCCTACTCCTTACACCCCACAGTCTGTGGAGGAGGCTGGGGTTCTGCCAACTTCCCACCCAGTGCTCCCGCCACCAGGGCAGCGACCCTGGGATGAGGGACTGCACTTGGGGGGGGACTTAAATCTGAGCAGGAGGCAGGCCAGGTAGAAAGGCCACAGCCTCCCCCGGACATGTCTGCCTCACTGAGGAATAAAACGCAAGGAATTTCTAAATATATTTCAGGATTCCTTGTTGTCCTTCTGAGGAGAAGGCCATCGGCGTTTCAACAAGGACAGCCTGAGTCTGGGCTTGGCTTCGGGCAGCGAGGACAGTGTGACCGTGTTGCCCCTGCCGACCCTGAGCTCAGCGTGTCCCCTGTCACGTGTCCCCTCTTCGTCTCCTTTCTCGGTTCCTCCAGCCATCAGGGCGCAGGCTGTCCGCTCTCTGGTTGACCTTCTTCCCGGGTGGTTTCTGCTTTCGGACGCAACCGCAGGAGGGGCTGATGACACCTCCCTCTGGTTCCCGTCACTGCTGCCCGGAAGTGCACGTGGTGTCCACGTTGTGTCCTGCGACCTCACTGCCTTCATTTCCACGTTCTCACGGGAGTTTGCGGGCCTCAAACGGTCCTACGTACCGCGTCCTGCCGTCTGCGAGCAGTGCGAAGGCTCCTCCTCCCTCGGATGTGCTTGCTGTTTGTCTCGCGGGGTGCGGGGAGGTGGTGAGGGTGGGCGCCTGTCTCCCTCCTGATCGGAGAGAGGGAGCTTTCGGCTTCTCACCGTTGCATGTTGTGTCATGGGGTGTCTAGGAATTACGTTTTTTAAAAGATTTATTTTATTTATTTTTAGGGAGATGGGAAGAGAGAGATAAAGAGAGAGTGACAGATCAAGGAGTGGTTGCCTCTCGCACGCCCCCTACTGGGGACCTTGCTCACAGCCCAGGCATGTGCCCTGAATGGGAATTGAGCCGGTGACCTTTTGGTTTGTAGGCCGGCGCTCAATCCTTGAGCCACACCAGCCAGGGCAGGAATTATGTCTTGAATACACATTTTTATGTATAATTGTAACAAAATTGGATGCAGTGTATACATTTTGCTATTGTAGATTTTACTAATGAGCAGAATGAAATATGAAGTTTTGTGTTAATAACAGTTTTTCTTTAAGACTAACTCCTGCCAGTGTGATCCGTGGGGGTTAGGATAAACGTTTTCAACCCTGGCTGGTGTGGCTCAGTGGTTTGAGCTCCGGCTGCGAACCAAAGGGTGGCTGGTGGATTCCCGTCTGGGGCACATGCCTGGCTTGTGCGCCAGGCCCCCAGCGAGGGGTACACAAGAGGCAGCCACAGAAGGATGTTTTTCTGCTTCTCTTTATCCCTCCCTCCCACTCTCTAAAGATAAATAAAGTCATAAAAAAAAACTTGTTCAGGGCATTTGGTGTACAAGGAAAGACCAAAATAAACCACAGGAATTACCTTCAGGAGGGTGAGCCCCTTGTAGTCCAGGCTCCCCCACCAGGCGAGAGTTCCAGCAGCCCATCTGCATCCGTGACCAGCTGGCATTGTTGTGAGAGGCTGGGTTGGGCTTCAGTGAATATTTTTGACGACTCTCCCAGAGCACTGGCCCATTTCCCGATGGGTGGTTTACCAGCCCACCTGCCCACACCTGCAGAATGCTGAGCAGCTTTTGACCAAAACCCACGTGCCCATCCTCCCTGCTCACCCGATCTCACCCAGGGACACTATTTTTCTTTCCCGGGTGAAAAGAGTCCAAAACCGGAAATGTCCCGACGTCTAGGACGTGAAACAAAACGGCGGCCCTGCCCACCGAGTCCCTGGCGTTACTGGGGTAGACGGGGGCATCCGCAGGCTGGTTCCCCGGGACCCGCGGATTCCTGACAGTCTGGGGCAACCTTCCCTCAGGACACACACTGCACGTGAGTGTGTCCCCTGGCTGGGGGAAGTGAGAGGCCAGCTCTTCTGAGACAGCCCCCAGCCCCCCAGCGCCCCCCAGTTCAGGCTGTGCAACGCCCTCGGCCCCTGTGGTCCCCCTGCTCCCGAGGGCATGCTGGGCCTCCAGGTAGGGGCTTGGAGATGCGGGAGACACCCAGGTGACAGGCTGCTGAGCCACACCAGCACCCACCGTCAGGGCACCCAGCACACCACGGATAGGGGTCTTGGATGCCAGCGCCATCCCCACCCACAGCCGGGGTACACAGCTGGCTTGGGGAGCAGGGAGGTTGGGCTGGGTCCCAGCGGCAGGGGATGGAAAGGCCTCAGGGATGGTGGGCCCCGGACAGGCCGTCCGGGCGGAAAAGGGCAGCTGGGTTCCTGTCGTCTCTCCAGTGAAGCGTGTTCTTGGTTAATTTTCACCGTGAACCACGTTGTTTGGTGTCTCGTTCCCTTTCGTGGCTTTAGAACTCGAGCTTTTTCAAGCCTCGGTGAGAGGCGCCCTGTTTTGCTCCATGAGGCCTCGGGCGGGACCCAGGAGTTCTGGATGACTGACAGGCTCCCTGTCCGAACCCTTGACCTTGGGGCGTCTCCCGGCCTCTGTCCTTTTCCAGGACACAGCCTGCAGGTGCCCTCGGGTGGGTAGAGGGTGGTGGCCCTGTGTGCCTGCAGAACCAGCTGGGCGGTGATCCCTCCGATGTTCCTGACACGGCCGCCACCTCCGGCTCCTCAGTGACGTCGGCCCCCCTGTCCGGAGTGTGTAGAGTGCAGCATGAAGAGACTCGGGGCAACCTAGGAGGTAGTACCTGTAGTTAACAACGTGGTATTGTGCACGTCAAATGTCGCTAGGCCCTAGCTGCTGTGGCTCAGTGGACTGAGTGCCAGCTTGGGAACACAAGGGTTGCTGGTTAGATTCCCAGTCAGGGCACATACCTGGGTTGCGGGCCAGGTCCCCACTAGGGGGCGCACAAGAGGCAACCACACATTGATGTTTCTCTGTATTTCTCCCTCTCTGCCCCTCTCTCTAAAAATAAAAATATTAAAAAGAAATGTTGTTAAGGTGGATTTCGTGTAAAGCTTTCTTACCTGAAGAAAAGGGGAAGCAGAGGGTAACGTTCTGAGGTCCTGGGTATGTTTACAACTGCCTGTGGCGGGAGTACCACGGGAGAACACACGTGTGCAAACCCGTCACATCGTATACGTGAAACACTTGCAGTTCTGTCGTGTCCCAGGCCCCCACACGCACAGTGCCCAGCAGATCCACTTTGTAAACAGCAGCACTGGGGTTACTGCCCGGGACGTCTGGGAACGCCGCCCCCACCCCAAAAAGAGTCTCTCACTCATGTTTGTTTGTGAGGAGAGACCGGAAGCGAGTTCACGACGGCCGGAGGGAGCCGTTCTCCTCGGGCTCTCCTCCCAGCCTTCCTCGGGGAGGACGGTGGCCGAGGTCCCTGCAGATCCAAAGCTCAGACTAACCCCCGCCCTCCACGCCGGCCGCCGTGTTTAAGGGTCACATCGTGCCCTTGGAGTACAGTCAGAGGCATGAGGACGTCATCACATGGACCTTCGTGATCACGGAAAGGAAAAGAATCCACATGTACAGAAAATCGTGAGCAGGTGAATCACTGCGCGTCCAATTATGAAATTCCGTGGGGCTACTGAGAAGCGCAGGGGCCCAGACATCAGAATACGTGGACGAGTTTGCCAGGCGCCTTGTTAAGTGGAGGAATCCGGTGCCTGCTCCTTACCCGCACTGAAATGACAAGAAAGGGCTTTTAAACAACCCCCGTGGACACGGAGGTAAGGGGAGAGGGTGCGGGACCGCAGAAGATGGAGAGTGAGCGACAGTGTGCTCGCTGCCGTGTAGTTCCAATGAGCCTGCATGTCCGCTGGCCCCAGGGGCGCTGCAAGGAGGCGCTGCCTGCGACAAAGCCCCAGAGATGCCCGGGAAGGAGGGACACGATCTGACTCTGCAACAGGGGTCCGTGCGGTTCCGAGGCCCAGGTCTGTGCTGTTCCTGTGACAAGGAATTTAATCCGGGCTCACTCTCCTCCCCCCTCCCCCTCCCCCAGAACACGAGGGGCCGCTCTCTGAGGGGTCCACTCAGGAAGGCTCTGCACTCGGGGTCCCCGGGCACCGTGGACTGTGTGAGATTTGGTGTCACCAGTTTGTTTCCTGAAGTGTCGTCTCCAGGCCCACACAGCTGACCCCCAGACTGTGCGGGCAGCAGAAGGAACAGAGCACAAAGGGAAACGCAAAGCCCGATGGTGGTGCCCGGAACGGAGCGCGGGTGAAAGCCGTCCACACGGGGTGGGGTGCTGTCGGCACCCTGATTTCTCGTGTCAGCTCAGCTCCTCCGAGGCTGCCGACTATATTTTCACTCCCTGGGCGGGAAACACTGGACCAACTCTGAGCCTGACGCCCACGCTGCCTTCATAGCAGAGGTGTGAGGGTTTCCTGTCCCTGTCACAGAGGAGCATGGTTTCAGGTCATAAAGTCTGGTTTCGGGGGTCCCCAGGTCCTGAGTCCTCGGGTGTCATGAGCTTGAGTCCCATCCCTGTTTGTCGGCCCGGTCAGGGGCCATGATGCCCGGCCCACGTTCTCCCAGCTGAGCTTCTGTGACGTCCCCTGGGTCCGGGTGGCCTTCAAACCCCCACTTGCAATTCGGGCCCCTGCAGGCAGCCTGAGGGTCAGAGCTCATGGGTCTGCCTGGCGTCCCTATGGCCGACGCCCTCCAAACAAGAGTCAGCTCAGGTCACCTTCAGTCCCCAGCGGTCGCTCCCTAGAGTAGGACCGATCCTGGGGACACACAGACCCCTCTGTCCCAGCACCGCGTGCCCCCCACAAAGCCCTTGGCATTGGCATTCCCGCCCCCATCTCGGGCCGTCTGTCCTCTGTCCGGGTTCCTGCGCCGTGACGACGCTCTCCTTTCAGACGAAGCAGCTTCTGCAGTCTGTTCTCGTCCTAAATACACGCCCGTCCTCCTTGGTAACTCGGGACATACGATGGAGCGGTTATCCCCACCGACTGGCTACCACACCGTCCTGTGCTGGGGGGGCGGGGGAGCGGCCTCCCCTTCCCACTGGGCCCCCCTCCAGTGGGGGAGACCCGCCGCCATCCCGGTGTCTCCGTGTGCGACCGCCACGGCCGTCGTCCCCCACACCTGCACCAGCGTCCCCCGGATGCGGGGACCCCAGGCGGCGTCATACTTCAGTGTTTCAAGGTAGCTGACAATTCCCCCTGCCACGGCTCGCTCAGGCGGTAAAGCTGTTCTTCAAGGCGGTGGTTCCCTTCCGTCTGGAAAGGCGGTCTGGGGTCCAGAGCACCCAGGGCTGACAGGTGCCCTCGGGGGCGCCCTGGGAACTCACCCATCACTTGTTCTTTGCTTTCACCAAACTTCTCTGCGACCCCGCCGAAGGAGGAGGGTGAGACTTTAAATGCTGCATCACGAAGTCCGGGGATCCCCTCCTCCAGCCCCCTCCAACACGGGAAGGAACCGGGTCGTTCCCAGCGGGACCTCCGCACACTGGGGCAGGTGTGCCCACAGGTCAGAGTTGTCCCGCAGCCAGGGGCCGCCTTCCGCTGGCCAGCAGGCTGCACCAGCACGCCCACCGACAGCAGGGGCGGGCACGGTGGGGGGCAGAGGGAGACAACCCTGTGCCCTGCTGGCGGGGGCAGACGGGCGCCGCCCCCGTGGGAACAGTGTGGGGGTCCTCGGGGAGCTGTCGGGGGATCTGCCTCTGACCCAGCGACCACTGTGGGTATCCCACCCTAGGAATCCCGAATCCCCAATCCAAAAGCGCCCTGCACCCCACGTTCACAGCAGCACAGTTTACAGGAGCCCAGTGCTGGGAGCAGCCCAAGTGCCCACCAGTGAGCGGACCCTGTCCCACCCCGTCCTGCCCTGGGCCTTGGGGATCAGGGGAAACACGTGGACGTCCGGGCCCCAGGGTCCCTCCTGTGCCCTCCTCCCTCCCGCTTCTCCCCCTCTTTCCTGA